ATGGTATAACGACACTCCTCTGTTCCTCAGAAGGCTTACAAAAAATGAAGAGTGTTCAGAAACTATAAAGATAGGAATCATGTAAATTCCTATAGGGTAATAGGTATAAGATTTATATAGTAAGGAGATAAGGGAAAGCATGCAGATGATACAGACAACTCCAGTTTTTTCTACCATTGTACTTTCTGCAGTTCCTGTAATTTTCCTTTCTTTTTCTGTCCCTCAATATTTCCTCCACTGTTCTGCAGACAACAGGTGTATTGCTCTGTCTTACTCTGGAGACCAGCTCAAAACTATGCATCTCTTTTGAGCCCGGAGCTCTCCACTTGCATACTAACTCCAGCTTCTTTGACATGTTCTGACTCAGGCAGTCTTGGAGAATCTACAGGGAAGCAAAAGCATGAAAACTACCCATAGCAACAGAGCAGTGAGGCTGCTATTACTTGAAATCTTCTGCAGGGGCGAAGTTTCTGAAGGTCTTATGCAGACATGGAAGAGAAAAATGGGGAGATGCAAATTGTTTCAATTCACTATTTTCCTCTAAGCAAGGCAACTCTGCACTCTATGTTTCTGATGCCCGCATTTTTCACTGCTCAAATTCCTCTTCTGTAGTTCTGTGGTCTCCAACTGATCACCGTTTGCAAACTCTCCTCTCTGCTGCTCTTTTCCTTACCCTAGGTCCCGCATCTTCTGTTTCTAATGGCTGCCATTCTCCTAATCCTCACTCCCATTGCTGCTCTCACACAAATCTGCAGCTGCCATACCCTGTTCTGTATGCCAACAGAACTAGTGGTAGCTAAAAACGCTATGAATGTTTCAACGTAGGTATGTCGGCAAGCCTTCTATTTTTAGATACCCTGAAGAGCTGTCTGTAGCAGATATGTCTGGTATAGCAGTCTGCTCTGAAAGCAGATTAGACCAAACTACCCAATGTCTCTGAAGCTGTGCATAAAAAGGTCATCACTTCACTTCCCATGTGCTGACTTGGGTTTCCCCTAACCCTTTTCAGCCAAAACAAACCGGTTCAGCTGACACCAACTATTTAAAGTGCTTAAGCTACTCTGGACGACTTCGACTGCAACAAGTTTGGGAGCAGGTTGCATGAGTAGCTTGCAAGTAGGTAGGAGAGGTGGTAACCTTTAGCAGAAAATGGCTGTGACAGCTGCCATTGGGCAGCTGGCTGGGGATAGCAACCTCTTCAGCAGCCTCAGCCTGTGCGGGAAATGAGGGCCCATGCAGGGACCTTTAAAGCATGGTAAATTCTGTGCTTAAAATTTGATTCTTGCTTATTTCACAAGAGGCCCCTTTGGGAAGCCACTCCTTTCCAATGTGCAGAAAACATGATGACGTTATTCAGACTGTCAATCCTCTTTCCCATGTTTAATCACGGATAACTGATTAACCAAATGAATTGCCACAAAACAAAAACAACAAAAATATTAGATGGAAAAGAAACAAGAAGTCAGACAAGCTGGCTTGTACACGTTAATAAATAGAAAGCTTTATAAACAAGGCGCATAACCTCCAGTTCTCAAAAGTAGACATCCATTTTCCCCTCTCTGCTCCACAAACAACAGGGACAGCATGCAGCAGTTCGTTCTTGACAGAAGCCAAATATGAACTGCAGGACATTGGGGTGTGTCAAAGTTCAAAAGCTGTTATACAGTCTGTTGGATAGCCACTGTCCTATCTTTTGCCCTGGTTTCACCTCATGCTGACACTTCAAGTCTTTTTACCTTCTGAGCCTGATAAATGGACACTAGAAATTACATTAACTCTTTCATCACTGCTTTGCAAAAAAAAAAAAAAAAAGGGGGGGGGCAGAGAATGTGTGTTAAGGCAAAAAATGTATATATATTGTCAGACACTTAATAAAACTTGGGAAAGCTGAGGAGGGAATGTCAGGTGGGCAGTCCCACTCACAGATGGTTCAGGTGTGCATCTTCAATTGTTTATGGAACTACAGCCTGATCTGTGGTTTGTGAATGCATTTCAAGTCCTTTCCAGGAACCTGCTGGGCAAGCAGTTAAGGGGAAAGAAAAAAATTTCAATAAAAAAAATCTAGGTTGAAGTTAGACCAATATTCAGACGAATTACTGCTCCTACATGAGTGACCACCTGCTGGCTGAGGCATGCTAACTGCCAGCATGTGCACGTTTAGCCTGCTGCAGAGATGAGGCAAAGAGAGTGGCCCTTTACAAAACAAGGGCAGATGCTGATGTGTTTGAGCCTGCCAGACTTCTTGTTTGTGTGCTACCTCAGCCTGCAAAAATTAATTGTAATGTAACAGTGGTTCAGCTGCACCTCTTACTGTATTAGGAAAAGAAATACTGACTCTGTGTTGGAAAAGCTTTACCTTGCTGTCCAAGGTTTTTCTGTAAACATCCTTTTTTAAGCTACAAATTAAAGTATTCCAAAAGACCACAAGTACTTTTTCTGCTTACTGTTTTACAGTCAGAAAACTTTTTCAGTTTCCCTATTATGAACAAAGTCCACATCCATAACATGTGACCAGGTTCAGATGATAAAAGGGAAGAGAGAATTCAAACATCTTTCTTCCTCAGCACGTAACCCTTTCTGGTGCCACTGCTATTTATGAGGATAATGATACTAGGACTACTTGTTCTTGCACTCCTCTGTCTGAATGAGCTGGGTCACTGGCTCTCGCCTAGAGTTTCCCTGGCACATTCCCATCTCTCCTTCATAGAAGTGAGACACTTGTAGATCCATCAGCCACTAGTTAATGTGCGGGGGGGCTACAAAAGGAATCTTTTGGGCTACTGGTTACTTGAGGCAAGAAGGCAAAGATGTTCTTTAGCTTCTTCAAGATAAATCCATACAAAATAGTAAATACATCTATGCAAATTGCTTTGCCACAACTTCATTGCCTCTGATCTTTCTTTGATCAGTGTCTTATGCAGATAGGGCTTCACTTTGGACTTGTCTCTCTTCCACATGTTCTGCACTCTTTTGGAGAGAATACTGCTGTTCAGTATGACAGCTAACAACAGTTCCTCTTGAGAGACAGCTCATAACATTTTAATGCCAGACCCTTGTCAAGGCGGTTTTCAGTCAGTTCTTCCAGGACGAGGACCCCCAGAACATAATTTATTTGGGACAATTCAAAATACCAACTACACAAAACATTTTCCTGTGAGTGATAAGCATTTGCCTTTCCAAAAGTGCTTCATTTGAAGAGACAGCCCCTGGAGCATAAGAATCTGTGAATTAATCTTCTTCCTCCTGATATCTTCCAAGAGTTTGTGGCACAGAGATGCAAAAGACTAACCAGAGCTTGAATTCCAAAGTGTAAGGTGTCTTACACACCCAGCAGAACTGACAGATGATTGTGATGAAGGTTGAGATATCTCTGGGTGTGGGAGGTCTGCAGAGCTCTTGGGTAGGACAGAGACCATCCAGCAGACCCCTGAATAGGATGCAAGAGTAGCTTGTTAGCTAGTAGTAGCCAGAATGGAAACACTAGACAAAATAATTGTTTCTGTGTATCTTAGCTTAGACTTAATATTCACTTTCCTCATGTTATTGGTTTCAGTGGTGCTTTTTTTAATCTTGAAGGTTACTTAAAGGGTGAAAGCCCTTAGAATGTCATGGAGCCAACAGTGCACAGCAAGCTGCCCTACAGCAGAAGGACCTGAAGTCCTAACTTCTTAACTATGCTGTATCACGCACAGCTTTACTTTTGGGCAAATGAAAACAGTCACCTGAAGCACCTCTGGCCAAGGAGGAAGGTGGAACCAGAGACCCTTCAGCCAGTAGGATTGTGCTTTGTGCAGCACCAGAGCCACAATGGCACAGTCCGCTTGACCGTGGGGCAGAGCTCTCTGAGGGCAGTCTTGGCTTGTGCCCATCTCCTCCACAGGCTCGGGCTCAGAGAGGGGACTCGGGACTGCTACAGGGCCAGGGACGTTGGGGCACGAATCCATCCCTTCCCTCCCCGCCTCGGCGACGGAGCGGAGACCGCTGCTGCCCGGTCCGCAGGGCACGCTACTGTATACAGAGAGGGACGGAACGGTACGACGCGGATAAGGCGCTTCCATCCCGGCACGGCAGGGCGGGAGCGGCAGCGCGTTTGAATCGCTCGGCGGCCCTGGCTCCTCCCAGGGGGCCGACCCGGGCAGCTCGAGGGGGAGCTCCAAGTGAAGATCTTACGCCGTCGCGGTCCTCTCACCGCTCGTTAGGCTTCGTGGCAGGACTGTAGCCGAAGCTCTCCGGTTCCTGTGCGGCCGCGCAGCGAAGTCCGCTGTGCGCGGCCGCGGCTGTCCGGACTCCTGGAGAAGCTCCGCTCTCTCTCTTCGCCTCCCTCCCTCCCCTTCCTCCCCCCTCGGCTGAGTTCATTCACTGGGATTGGTTTCAAGTGACGCCATCGCTTTATTTTTACACCGATGACCTCATCCCAGCAGCCTGGAGTTTACTGACCAGCAAAACTCACTATCTTTCCCTTCCTCATTCTCCTTCTCCCTGTTTGCTCTTCCCATTTATTAGTAATTGTTTGGTTCCTTTTGGGAACTGAAGACTTTGAAAAAATAAATAACCGAAAACGTCCAAACTTCCTCCCCGCACCGTCCCTTTTTAATTCTCTCAAGCCATCTAGGGAGGGAGGGAGAGAGGAAGAAGGGGAGGGGGGGGAGAAAAGCTCCCAGTATTTCCTTTTTCTCCCCTCCCATCTTCACACTTCCCCCTCCTAACAATTTACTTCTATTTATATATTTATTTTTAATGTCTGTTACTTTTTGCATGGAAGAAGGATGAATTTTATATGGAAGAGGCGCTTCCCCAGCGTCTAGAAGGAGACGGAAAGTTGTTTCCTGGCGGCAGAGCGGTGAAAGGCCGGTACCAGCTCTCATCCCTGCCGCGGGCAGAGACCCGGGGCAGGCAGTCAGACAGACGGGAGCGGGGGGAGGTGCCACAGTAAGTGCCGGCAGAGGCCGCCGCCGGGACCCCGCCTGGGCCGGGGCTGGGGGCCGGGCTGGGCGGGGAGGAGGAGGAGGAGGAGGAGGGAGGTGAGGGACGGCTCCCGCCGCCCGTCCTCCTCTGCCATGCCCTTCCTCGCCGCCCCCTCACCTCCGTAGGAGATTCTGCAGCCGGCAGGTCGCTGCCCCGCACCGGCAGCTCTGACCGCCTCCTCCCGGTAAGGAGAGGGGCTGAGAGGGAGCGGGGGGCGGCAGCTCTTCCCGGCCTGCGCAGCGCACCGCCCTGCTCACCTCCGAGAGGGCACGGCCACCTGCCTGTAGCGGGGGAGGCCAGCGGCCTCGGAGCGGAGAGGGCCGCGTAGGGGTGCGTGAGGGACCGCTGCCTTCCGTAGGGCTTTGCCGAGGGCGTCCGGGCGGCGCGTCGAAGAGCCTCGGTGCGCGCGGCCGCGTTTCGGAGCTCAGCAACCAGTGCTGGCTCCGACGACGAGTTTCGCCGCTCAGAGAGGTCGAGGATGCTTTTACAACCCCGCGGGACTCCCAGAGAAATTGAAAGTTCTAAACTGAACTTGGGAAATATTTAAATTGAGTCCGTTGACAAAATGGAGGGCTGCTGTGGAATCAAAGAATGAGGCAAATTGTTAACCTGACAGCGCGGTCACATAAACCAGCAGCTCCGTGACCGGTGCTAGGACACAACCCGACGAATACCGTCCTCGGATCTTATTTTACTTCTTTTGTAGAAGTCCTAGGAGGGGAACATGAGCTCGGTGCACATCAGCGTGTGCAGAACAAGGTGTATCGGACGTGCCTGTGGCAAAGCCTGACTGGTGGTAGAGTTGTTCAGCGTCCAGATACGTTTTGTTAGATGTCAAGTAGAAAGGTGTTTTTGAGAAAGCAAAACCAAGGAAAATTGAGTTTACTGTTGTTACAGTTGGTTGAAATAGTACTCAATCTTTTGGTTTTCCTTCAAGCAAAGGGTGAAGTCATAGTAAGCTGTATTGTCTGACCTGTGACTTTTTTTTTGTTGTTCAAACATTCTGTGTATACCCAGCAGAATAAATAGATCTGTCTGCACTTTTTAAACTAAAGGTAGTTTGAAATATTTCTTCTAAGAATGCGCTTAGGGTGGGGGGGGGGGGGGGGAGGGGGGGGAGGGGGAGGGGAGGAGGAGGGGTTCTTTCTGTTATTTAAAAAAAAAAAAATCCAAAGCACCAGAATGATTTTGTATTTGTTGCTTTAAGTTTTATGCTATTCCTGGCAGCATGTGGCTTGGTAGATGGAGAACTTACGAAATCACAACTGACCGAACAGGACTTGGTTTAGACTCTTGTGTTTTGAGGGAAGGTGGGAAAATAGTAAGTCTTAATTTCTTATTTGCGATGTTCATCTTGCTGCCCATTGGAAATTGAAGCATTGATCACAGCTGGTTATGTTGGTTGGCTGGGGGTTTCTATTTGAATGTGGAGGAAGTATGCAACAGGATGGTTGTGTATTTTTAGCTTTAGTTTTGAATCACTAAAGATATAAAGGATAGTGATATTCAAAAGTACATTGTGTAGTTACTGAGTATGCTTCTTAATATTGTTAGGAATGAATCTAAAATGTTTGAGGGGTCATAAATTCTGGTCATTATACTTGTTTAATGCAGTAGTGCTTCAGTATATCTTAATACACAGTTTCCATGCCCCTTTTAAATGAATAAATGAGGAAAAGCAGCAGAGAAGGTGTTGATTCTTGTGCTAATTAGATGTGGAAGTCACAAAATGCTGTATGGTTTAATGCATGTGTGAAGGTCCACAAGGTCCTACTAAGCATTAAAAATCTCATCCTATGTTGTGTATAGATACATAAATACATCCCTGCTCCAGTTGGTTTTGTTTTGTTAGCTACCTAAGCAGATAGGGTGAAACAGAATCAGTTTTAGTCACACCAGAACAACCTTTGTAGGAGAGAATGAGCTCAAGTTATTTTTGTTTCTGTAAAATGTACGCACTTCTTTTAGTGAAGTCAGCTAGCCTGGCAGGGATGTTTCTTTTAGCTAGACTAGCGTCAGTTGACCATAGGAAGGGTCATGGCTGTTGAGGAATGTGTTAATAAATAGATTTCTCCAGAAGCCTAGCCAGCACTCTCAAGATACTCTCAGGTATGAAATAGTCACCAGCTGTGGCTGGAGTCATGCGTACATCTCCATGTGCCCTGCTCCTTTTTGGCTAGGTGGCCCTGTGCCTGCCTCTTCATGGCCAAAAGCTGCCAGTGTGGGGGAATGATACTGTAGAGAACTGCTGAAGACTGCATAGTGGGAACTGATATGCTGCTCGGCTGTCTTCAAGAACAGTATGAGAGCTGCTCCAAAAGTGATGCCTCATTTTATTATATTGTCCCATGATGTTGGAGGTGGATGTTGGTGGTATGGCAGCAGGGGCTGAACTTTCCCATCAGTATTCTGCTATGTTTTGTTGCGGTGCGACAAATGGCAGCGAAGGGGCTGTCTGACAAAATGGTGTCAGAGATGGAAATGCACATGAAGCCAAGGTGGGTCATTAAATTACACCATGTGGAAAAAATGGCACCCATTGACTTCACTGATGCTTGCTGACTGTTTATGGAAACCAAACAGTGGATGTCAGTGAGCCGGTGGGTGCTGTGTTTTAACAGTGGCACAATGACAGTGGGTCATCTCTGCTGGTGTAGAGTTTTACAAGCATGGCGTGCAGGCTCTTGTTCATCACTGGTGAAAATGCATAGCTAATGGTGGTGACTGTGTGGAAAAATAGCTTTTCGTAGCTGAGATTTTGCTCTATCAAACAGTGTTATTGTGTTCTTTGTATTTGTTGTAGTTTCCATATAAATAAATAGAAGGCATTAGTTTCAGAGCAACCTACTATAACGGATCTGATAGGCTTGATGGAGCCATTGGAGGGCAAACACAGGCTCTGTACTATTTCTCTTGAGAAATGGTGTACTGGCAAATGAGTCACTGATTTTTGCTGCTTGCATTGATCTTCAGGAGGGCTCCATTCTCACGTGTTGTACAGCAAGAGCATTTTGCAGGGTGAGTGCCTTGCTTGGTCACATACAAGTTTTCAAAGTTCACCTCCTTTCTCTCTGTGCCAATTCAGGACTAGCTGAAGTGTTTGCAAAACAACAAATTTTCCAAGAAATGCTGTAGGTACTCTCAAACTTTTTCCTCAAGGAAACCAAGTCATGATGACAGCTTTTATTTGTTAGTTTGCCTGTTGAATTTTCTAGGGTTATTTTTCTCCTTTCATGTAACAATGGTCAGGGAAGCATGATAGTCATTCTTGACATGCTGACCATCTTTCATAGCCAGACTGTACAGAGTAGGTATTGTGAAAGGCCAAGGGGTGGAAGGAAGGGATTTGCCAGTCCATTTTTGTTCTTTTTTATTTTTATTTTTTAATATTTTCTTTTGTTTAACTTACTGGAATAAGTTTCTAGTTTTCTAATTATTTTCTCAGCTTAACAATAAATTTCATGCAGTCTTGTATAATTTTGCCTGTGACTCTGTAACAGTATTCCCATGTTTTGTTTAAGAATTATTATCGAGGAGCTGGTTTTCCAAGTAATAGAGAAATATCCCTGGTGCATCAAGTGATACATTCTCTCCCCGTGATTCCTCACAGATTTCTTCCAGGCTTAGTGTAGCGATGTGGAGTTTCTGTAGAATATTTTAAGTACCAGTAACTGCAAATCAGTGTTCTAAATACCAATGTCAGTAACATTTTTGTGATTTACTTGGTGTCTCTCTTTGTAAACCAAGGGTAACACAGCACTCATAGGACAGTGGGTTGCCTGCACATGTGGTCTCTGCTTTCTGGACAAGTCAAAAGGCATAAGTGATAGGTGGCCTGGCAATGTGCATCAAGGTGGCAATGTGGATCAAGGTGCAATAGTGGCAATGTGCATCAAGGCTGAGCTAAGGCCGGTGTTACTGGAGACCAGAAGCCCTTCATGTGAGGGAGAAGTGAGCAATGTAATTTCAGACTGCTTTCTAGAGGTTGCCCGAGAGACCCTATCCTCAGATATGAGTGCATTTTTTTTTTTCTTTTGTATCACTAGTAGAATAACATCACTGCCCTGCTGTGAAAGCTATGTGAGATAGAACTGTCTCTGGAGGCTGAGGAAGCAAGGCTATAAGTGGAGATGCCCAAACTCATACAGAGTTGCTGCTGGTCAAAGGATGCCAGCAGAACAGGAACACTCATGTTACTGCTATTCTCCTTGGCTTTATCACATTTTTAGATTGGTTCCCACTTGGTAGCTCCAAATAAGAAATTTCCGTTATAGTTGCTCTGTAGCTTTCTGTAACACCTGAAAGAAGCCAAAAATACACATTAATGGGAATGTTTGGCATCTTAACTGCTAGGTTTGTGCAGTTTTAATAGAAACTTATTGGTTTATTTATGTACAGGGCCTGTTAGCAGCTATCAGTAGAAGTTACGTTGATCACATGTAAATTACAATTGCTCAGTGATCAAAGAAAATCTGCTTATAGTGTGTGTGTGGAGGGCAGGAGGGAACACAGGCATGAATTCGAGGCCTCACACTTCCTTTCTCTGCTCTATGTGGTCTGCTGCTGAGCCAAGGCTGACCTACTCAGAGTTGGCTTTGAGAAGACTGGCGCCTTTCCATTTTGTGTCCCTATGAAATGCTTCTACAGACCAAAAAAAAAAAAACAAAAAAAAACCAACCAACAAACAAACAAAAAAAAAAACAACAAAACACAATTGAATCACTGGGCAGGCTAGGGAAGAGAGGAGAGAGTGGTTCCTCACTGACAGGCACTTCAGGGAAGTGAAAGAACCTGGACTGAGACAAACTTGGCCAAGATCATGCATTGTGGCTGCTCTGTTCTTGCACGGTGTGAGGTTGTAACATTGTGCTGCGTTGATGTACCAAAGGAACTGCTGAAACAAGGTCCTTCGCTGGGAGGAAGTTGGTTATCTCTGCTCCTTGTTGCAGATATGAGCCATGTGTAGGCAGCATGCAGCTTCTCCGTGGTTTGTTCTTTTAACTGATTTTGCCCTATGTAGTACAAGTTCTCGGAAACTGGGATCAGTTCTTGCACAGACCTCCTCGAATAAGTTTATACTCTCATTTTGTCTTAAGCTTCAGCTTGAAACTTCTGTAAGTTGTTCAGCAAACAAGATGCGCAAGTGGAGGTGTTCATTATTTCAGAATACACATAATCTTTCTTCTGTATGATTTGCCTATGTGCTGCTCAGAGTGGTAACCTGCTTCCAGGGTGAAAACCTTTAATTTTCTTCACTGAATGGCAGCAGTTCTGTTACACTTTCTCAGCAGAAAATCATGATAACAGATTTCCAATATTGAGACTAAAATAGCGTCATTTTTCATTTTCGTGAACTTCCCATGATTCTGCTTTACTATAATAATCTATGGAATAAGCCTGTTGGACCAAATGACAGGCTTGTGGTTTGTGCAAATGCTCTTTTTTTAGGAATCCTTACCAGCTTGTCTTAATGTCTTTGTCTTACTAAAGCATGCGGGAGGTAAGAAGATGGGCCTGAATATGTAATGTAGCAACACTGGTATGAGAAATTTACAGAGAGCATAAAATGAGGTGGGCAACAGAGACTAATTGTATGAAATTCCTTTTATGTACATATTCTTGAATTTGGATAGCTAGTATGTATTCAGCCTGCCGGATTAGAAGGTTTTGGCTCTGTATATATAACAGAGATATCTCTCAAAATAGGAGAGCTAATCTCTCTCCCCAACAGTATTCCAGATAAAAACTGATTCATTACTGCATTTTGCTTGTATCGGGCTCCTAGTAAAGCATGTTTGAAGGCTGAATAATTCGGGATGTTAGAGGATAAACACTACACTTTTAATAGCCCAGGTGGTGTTTTTGCTTCTTGATTGCTTGTATGAGTAAGAATCATTCACTCTAGTCTTTAAAGATACAAATACCATGTCAGGACTTGGGTTTCTACTTGTGAGAGGTTCTTACAAGTGAATTACTTTCTTGATAGTGTGTATTTCGCTAGGCCTTATGTAGTCCTTTTAATATGGTAGTTATCCATCTTCTAAACACTCACTTCCAAATACATCCAAAGATCTGATAGGTTCTCACAGCTTGCCATCCCCCTTAATTTCAAACACTGAGAACATATTTGTTATTGAAATGGGTATGAGATTGTTTTTCAGTCACTGTATTAATGCTATCTGGAGTAAGTATAGCACCTATCATCCTTACAGTTCCTACAGGTATTTGGTTATAGGTGAGAATGTGCCTTTAAGTTTTGGGATTTCATACAGTCTTTCTTCAAAAATGTTGCTTGCGCATAGTGTTTTCTCTTGCTTTCTAGAATCTAAACTCAGAAGACCAGGAGGGATGAGCTCTGGAATGGGAAGAAGCGCTCTGATAAGTCTCTCTTGTAACCCCACTGTTCTTAGAAGTGCCTTTCTGAAATAAGAGCAAGCCGAATATGAACTTCATCTTGTTCTTAACAAGGATTTATAAAGCTGTGCTAGTTTTTGAGTAATGAATTAAGATCTTCCAGGAAAAAAGTACGGTGTTCACCCCAGTGCACTGGACTATTACTATTCAAACAAGTCTGTTAAAATGAATCTTGATTAGAGGACAAATGGTGTCACCACTTTCAGTAGGCTTCCTCTCCCAGACCCCTGGATACAAGAAGGATGGCTCCAAATCAAGGGCAGGCTGTGAAAGTCTCTCTTTCCGTAGTCTATTCAGAGCTCTTTACTGATAGCAAGTCTCTTCTCATAGTAGCAGAACCAAGTAAGTTCTTCCTTTTGTACCAAACTAATCCTGCACCATTTCAGTTCCTTAGGACCTTGCAAGTTCTATGTGGTGAGTTCTCTGAGGTCTTACTGGAGAGATATAATCAACAATAATCAGTCTCCAGGTTCATGACCTCATGTTTCAGAAAGACACATCAGCTGAAGGCAAACAGGTAATCTTGGTGAGGGCTGATGAGTTCTGTGTTCTTCTAGGTGAGCATGGGCATCCTTTGCCACTTTTTCTTATCATCGCCTTTTTTTTTTTTCTTCCCTTGCGTGTAACTTTTCATCTGAATATGTATATTTATGCATTTATATTTTTTTTAGTTTCTTCTTGTCAGTGGAGTGAGCTCCCCTGCTCAACCCTTCTCAACCCTTCTGTGGCATCACTGCTGAAGATCCCGCCTCTTTTCATGGATGACACGTTGAGAGTACGCTGTCAGCCTACCAGTTCTCTGTTTTGCTTGTTAGGTGATCTGTGCTTGGATGCTGCCTAGCTGACGCATCCTGTTTCCTCACTATAGTTTACTTGGTGTGTTTGCTGTGATTTCCAGGTGGACATACTTGAAGATGTCTCAAAAAAATCTCTTCGTTCTCTGAGATACCAATCAGGACAGGAAAAAAAAAAAAAAGAAAAAAAAAAAAAGTGTAACAATTAACCTGCACTGTTGCAAGCTAAGATACTCTTCACTTGACAAGAACACATCTTTCTGCCCCTCAGTTATAAAGGAGTGGAATCTTTGTTCCTGGCTGAGACTGGTGTGACTTGCCAGCTCACCTGCAGGTGTGACCTGTGCTGGAACGAGGAAGCCTGCAGTGTAATTCCCTGCTCTGCCTAATGTATGGTTAAATTGATAGAAAATCACTGAGGAGGCTTAGACATTCTATTCCTCTGACAGCCTTCTACAAATGCAAGCTATTAATGACCATTGCCTTTAATGGACAAAAACAGTACTGGCAATTCCTTTGTGCTCTTTATTTAATGGCGTAACAAGCAAGCACATTAGCTATTTTTATTCATACAGCCAGACATAGGCCAGTATGGCAGAGCAGCTATGAAATGTCTGCATAGCTAAGTGGGAACACATCTGCTGTTGAGAACTAAATCTTTTTCTTTTAGTTACAGTATTTTGAGAGAGTTCCACTAGTGATCGTCTGATCTCTCTATTTGACTGTGGTGTAGATTTTCAAGATTTTGCATTAAAATAGGCAGAACATTCTTTTCAGTCCCCGACTTTGTCAACTGTTTCAGTCAACAATGAAGATGTAATGCAATCAGAGATGTGGGTGGTGAAAGGAGAGCCTGCGCAGGTTAAAGGTTCGGTTCTTGTCCTTTCAGGAAGTTTCTTGACTATCTGTTCTGACGTGCTGCTTAGTGACAGGCGCACAGAAGGAGCCGAGTACAGTGACAATGTTAGCAAATGCTAGTTTAGAGAGATGCAGTGTTTGTTTGGGGGATTTTTAAATGCTGCTGAGTTCTGAAATTATATTTTCATCTTTTCTTTTTTTTTTTCCTCTGTTTCCTTTATCTATCTACTTTAGCAGAAAAATGTCTTCCATAGCTTGCCAGTTAGTGTGAAAAAATTAAGGTTCCTGATAATTTAAGTCTGAATATTTCAAAGCCGAGAGTAGGTTATAGATTGACTTGGGGGGTAGAGGAAGGTGAAGCTTATTGTTATTCTTATTGTTTTGAGGTGTGTGCAAGGTGAACAAATAGTTATCCTCTGTACTGACGTGTGATCATACAAAACAAAAAATTTCATGCCTGCGGCGGATGTTAGAGGTGCTAAGGAAAGAAAAAAAACCAACAACGTTAAATAAATAAATACTACTCTTTCCACAGTTAGAAATTTGTCTTATGCTGGAGTAGATACCTTGTTGTCACATATATCTTTACTTAATCAAATTATAAGGCATGCTTACAAAAATCTTGTTTATATCCACCAAGTTAAGATGTTTTTACTGAGTGCTTAATGTTTGTCCCCATTGATGGTATTGCTTCTTGGTGCAGCCAAACATTTTTCCTAGTTATTTTCTTAGTTATCACTTATCTACCTGTTTTTTTCTTTTCTGTCTGTATTGTCAAAGTGTGCATGTGTAACTTCTTCCTTGGTAGGTCTCTCTCTTTTTCAGATGTCAGTTGTTGCACCAAAAAGCTCAGCTGGAGAAGTGTACCTACTGGTATAAAATAGCGTTGCTGTTTTGAAGGGGTGGATTGGGACACTTGTTGCAGAGATCATCTGCTTTGTAACGTCAAGGTAATGTAATTAAACACCACCATATAACCACCTCTCTCAGCTTCACCAGAAGCAGTAAAATAGGCTGATTTATTTTAAAACTTTTAATTCAAAGTGGAGTAACATCTGATGTATGCAGACAGAGCTGGGACCCTTCTGCTTTTACTGAAAATGCTGTTGAATTGCATTAGAGAAAAAATACTCAGGCTTATCGCTTTCTGAAGCTGAAGTTTGAAGCAGTATGTTGAGTTGCAGTATCTCTGTGGTATCAGCATTTCTGTCATTGGAACTACTAAAGAAGGGAAACATGCATATGGAAAGGGGAATAATAGAAAAGAAGATATTGATCATATATTAAAAAAATGCACTGCAGGGGCTAATAAAGGAAAAAATGAAGAAAATGGAGGCAACAGAGATGAAAATCGTTATTAAAAAAAAAAAAAAAATCTGTATTGTATATGATGATGAGACTTTAAACTTACAGGAAAAGCACTTCTAATATGATAGGATAAGATCATTCCTTATCCTAATATTATAGGATAAGATCACTCCACTTTGGCTAGTAGTACTGAACTTGTTCTAGCGCATAGTGGAAGAATCATTTTCTTTGTGTATGAGAAAGAACCCTTTGATAGAAGATGAATGACAAGGTTTAGGAAGTCTAGGGAAAAGTGTATGTTCCAGCGAGATCATGATAGTAAATACTATCTGTGTGTCTAGAGAAAAATCTTCTAAAGGTTTAAATGGTGTTGAGTTGTGTGGTTTGCTTTCCAGAGTCTGTATTTTAGATTTATAAGTCATGTAACTGAACATACATATTCAGAACTGTGAATGCTGGTTTGGAATAAATAAGTGGTAGCTGCTGGGGTGTAATATTGCATGGGTTTGTGTATTGTTGCTTTATCACTAGTCATTTGTAAATATTTAAGAATGAGTTGATTTCAAAAGGTTGTATCATAGGTCACATTTTCTTGTTGGGAATTTGTAAGTTTCAGAGATGTAGTTCTCGAATAGAACGCTCTTGAAAAGAAAGTCTTTCTTTGTGACTGGGAGGGTGGGAAGGAGCGGGGAAAATTCTGTCTACGCATTTCTGTTGTGAAATGACTTTTCTTCATGCTGCTAGTGAATTAATGTTGGATTTTGTTTTTGATTAGATGTGTATATAGGCAGTAATTTTTGATGGAAAACAACCTTTTATTAAAACAACAACAAAAAAAAAAAGTTGGAAAACTTTGTATGCTTCTAAAATATGTCCTGTTCAAGAAGCTGATGTTCTCTAACTACGCTCTAGGTACAAATGTGCAAGCTTCCTCAGGTTTCTTAGTGTCTTCTAGCACTTTTGGGTTCTGTTATTTGCTCCCATTGGTGTGAAAACTGTGCAAGCACAAGCAGTAGGTGTCCCAGGGTGCTTTCATCTGAGTGCACAAAATGGAGAAACAGTGGAAAGGTGATTGTTGTCAAAGTGTCTTTATGCAGCTGTGCAGGTGGAAAAGGTTACTGAGCTGAGCTGCTTGTCACAATCCCTCTGCCACAAGTTGCAGCCCTGAGTCTGTTGCTAGCGTAATTCTTGTGGCTGTTCGTACTTCTCTTGAGGCCACGTCAGAGGATAAACTTGCAAGAAGCCTGTTTTGCTTTATGAGCTAAACTGTTCAGGTTTTGCTTGAAGCAATCCACAAATCTGCTGTGCAGTCATTGCCTCTAGATGGTCCTTCATGCCTATGGCAGACTTAAAATTTTGAATGCAATGAGAAGTTTTAGAGGAAAGTGTCTGCATAAACATGTACACACACACACACACACATATATATACACATACACACTCTGTCCAGAACAGCTCATGTTTTATAAAGCTTTCAGTGATTCTTGATATTTTATATAATGAGAACAGCAGTGAATGAGCTACTGAAGAGAAGCACTCTTACAGACATGTCTTCCTGAGCTATGTCATTGTATAACAAATCTAGAAGATCCAGATGCATGGTTTTCATGAAGTGCTGGCCATGTAGCTTTATTGGTTATAGCTATCTGAAATTGGCAGATAGATTTTGCACATTACATAGCTTTTAGTGCATCTAATTGAGTAGGCTTTTCATTTCTGATCATTAACTAGTCTTCAGAAGGAAATTGGCATGAAAGCCTAATCCCTTTCTACTCAAAACTTGAAAGCATTTATTTGATACCATACTTATTTGCTATAATAAAAGAAAAAAATTAAAAGCAAAAACAAAAAAATGGCTAGTAATGCTTATTTATTTTCTACTTGTCTTATTTCTTTTCCTTTTTTCCCTCATTTTAGTAATTTAAACAGTACCAGAGTTGTCACATGGAGCTCTGATTTTCCTCACTTGTTGTTTTCTTATGTCATCTCTGCCACCTGCTTGAGAAGAGGTATTGATTACACTTAGAACTCATTTTAGTGTTTCCATTCCTGTTAAGGTGGTGTTTCTGACTTTTTAATGATAACACTGTATTTTTTTTTTAATATACTTTTCTCAACTTGTGTGTTTCGCTATTGGGGTTTTTTGTTCTTGTTGTTTGTTTTTTGTGGTTTTTTTTGTTTTGTTTTGTTTTTTTTGAGTGCTTTTTACATTTACTTTGAGTATAGTGTAACAGAATCATCTTTATGAAGTTGTGTCAAAACTGACAAGATTCTGCGGGCCAGAGCTCCTCTTGATGTATGGCTGCTTGCATTGCTATATTGCAAGGGTAACATGCTGTCTGTAATCTTGTTTGTGGTAATGTTTTGTCAGCCAAGGACTTTTCTTCATTCAGGGAAGAGACTTTAAAAAAAAAAAAGAAAATTCAGACCATGCAGACTGAGTTTTATTGACATACAGCAAAGTTAGCTGGGTTTGTACGAACAACATAACTGTAGTGGCCTTCTGCTGTCACATCCATGCAGCCAAGTGCAAAGCTCTAGAATTAATATAAAAAATGCTTAATATCCAATAACTTCATCCAGTATCATTTTTAACAACATAGACTTTTTCACAGAATCACAGAATGGCCAGGGTTGGAAGGGACCTCAAGTATCATGAATCTCCAACCCCCCTGCCACATGCAGGGCCACCAACCTCCACATTCAATACCAAACCAGGCTGCCCAGGGCCCCATCCAACCTGGCCTTGAACACCTCCAGGGATGGGGCATCCACAACTTCTCAGGGCAGCCTGTTCCAGCACCTCACCACTCTCTATGTAAAGAACTTCCCCTTGACATCCAACCAAAATTTACCCTCCCTCAACTTAGAACCATTTCCTCTTGTCCTGCTGTTATCTACCCTTTCAAAGAGTTGATTCCCCTCCTGTTTGTAGGCTCCCTTTAGGCACTGAAAGGCTGCAATGAGGTCACCCCGCAGCCTTCTTTTCTCCAGCTCCCAAGCCCAGCTCTCTTTGTAGGGGAGATGCTCCCCTGATCATCTTTGTGGCTCTCCTTTGGACCCTGTCCAACAGCTCTGTTTTTTCCCCTTCTTTACTATTGCTCTTAATTTCTTCCATCTTTTCAGTGGTGAGAAATGGATATGTGTATCTAAATGTTATATTATGTTTTTCCTATATTTCCAAGTATTTGGAACATTTTGCTATAGACAACTACAAAATAGACTTTCTAGTAAGTCTACATAGGGTTCCTTTTAAGCAGTTGAGTTGGTGTGCTCCAAGATGTATGGGTAAATTTATTGGTGGCTTCAGGTGAGATGGAGAAAAGTGATTCTGTGTCTTCCTCCATTTCTTACACTGTGCTCATTTATGCCTATCTTGAAGTTATCCATGTATTCTCTGTGGCTACTTTATAATCAATTGTCCTAATACTGAAAATCAGTAACTTTATTACGATGATTAATTTAATATTTATTAAAGGAGAAATTAAATATGTTTCTACAAACATTTCATACCTATTCTGATACAGTTCACTTGAATAAGAATGATAGATTTCTGTTATCTGCTCGGCCATTACATTCTTTAATTTCCTCATGAATCTTAGAGACACAGTGACTTACTGTTAATTAATCATTTTTATCTTCTCTTCATTAGACATGTCAGCCCTGGCAGTAGATAATCTTAGTTTATCTCAAACTTATCGTTTTCCAGCATCCGGTATGGGAAGGACTCTTGCAAAGAAATCTATTTTTGCCTTTTCAGCTATTATTATCATCTAATCTTAGTACTGAATTTAATTGCACCCGTACATTTTGTGCACCAGCTCTTAAGTTTTTAATTATTATTTTAATACATTTTCCAATCTGATACTCTTTGTTTTCCTAAGGATTTTTTTTTTTTTTTAATCTATTGGCACTTTCTCTATTTTCTGTTTGTTTACAATTTATTTTTTTGTCTGGGATATGCTTATTTGGCCTGTGTAACGTCATGAAAATGTTACCATTTAGGCATAATGGCTCTTTTCTTCCCTGGTTTCCTGTGTCCTTGCCTTGTGAATTGGTAGATATAACTTCTGTAACTTCAGACTCAGCTGGGAGCTAAGCATGCAGCTTCTAATTTCCTCTCTTTTCTTGAATTGAGGATCTTGTGTACCGACAGTGTTTTAATTCCCATTTCTGAAACTTAACAACATGGTACTTGTTTTGACAGGATTTCTTCCATGAGTGTGGTGAACTCATCTACATTATGGCCACTGTTGTGTTTAGCGATGAACTAACACAAATGATAAGCTGGCTTTCTGATTTGGAACTAAGATTGCTGGAGGATGAGTAGAGGGAAAGCTTGGTTTCTTATTTCCAGATGTAGAAAACACAAGGAATCCAAAATGTCCCTTGTCACGTCTTGTCATGGTTCAAAGAGTAAATTAAAATGTAGAATCCTTTGGTCAAATCAGATTCCTCTTGCAATTGGTGTGGTATTTCCCTTACTTCCATCTCTAAGCAGCAGTAACTGCACTCTTCCCCCTTTTCCACATTAACTCCGTGATTCCTGTTTGGTTTCTGAGATTTTTCTGGATTAAAAATTCTTAGTGATTTCTTCCTTCTTTCTTTTGTTCTTCTCCTTTCAACAGCCACATACAGACTT